GAGCTTGCGTGCGGCACACAAGCAAAAATACGTGTGAACAGCTCAAAGTCTATGTCTAATCTAAAAGTTAAAAGTTTATTCGCATGAGGCATCCTGGTTTCAAGCTTACACAGTTCTCAAGAAACTGCTTATGTCGGCGATGCAATCGTCAGCATGTTCCCACGAATGGCACACATAACTATATAGTACCTTTAAAATACCTATATGATAAGGAAATTATTGCTGTTGAATGCATTCAAGCGAATGAGTGAATAAACCCAGCTAGAGACAAGAACAGACAAAAAAGAAAAGAAGAAAGGAAGATCAATATTGAAAATGAAGAATAACACAGCTTAGTGTGACCTTTTTGTGGTTGTATTTTCTTAACTAAGCTGCTGTGGTGTTTGTCATTCATCAGTTGGCATTATTGATAACTTGATGTACCGGGTGATTGACTTCATTTTGCGCCCACACCTATTTCACCTGTTTGAAGAGATACCCAGAAATGTCAAGTGTGAAAGTTGTAGGTAATATCAGAAAGTTCTCAATGATGTTAGTTACAAGTATACAGGGTGTGTCACAAAAGTGTGGCCAAGCAAAGGTATACTTTTTTAAATGGAAAACCCCGTAGGTATATTATTGTCCCATTGGATTAGCCTTTCAAACCTGATTCCAAATATACAAGGTTTTTTAGGTTTATTCCTAATAGTCCAGGAGAAAATAGCACAGAAAGGGGTGGAATTATTGCATTTTTATTGTAAAAGGTGAAGTATAGAGACCACCAGTAAAATATAAAGGTAATCATTCATGTAAATAAACCATATTATTTCTTCAAAATGGGATATTCAGAGGCTGGACTATAAAGAATAAACCTAAAAAACCTAGTATATTTAGAATCAGGTTTGAAAGGCTAATCAAATGGGATAATAATATACGGGGTTTTCCATTTAAAAAAGTATAACTTTGCTTCGCCACATCTTGGTGATACACCCTGTATACTTGTAAGTAACATCATTGAAAACTTTCTGATATTACCTACAACTTTTACATTTGATATTTCTGGGTATCTCTTCAACCAGGTGAGGTAGGCGTGGGTGCAAAATATAGACAATCACCCGGTACGTGACACCTATTGGTACGGAGCCAACAAGTCAAAGATTCCTTAAACGTGTTTGTATTGCTTTTATTCTTTATGTTACTTGAGAGTGAGTTGTATAGCCGAGGTCCTATATAGCTAAAAAAATCTCTGACTTACGGTTTTATTAACTCTGGTAGTTTTAACATTTTGCTTTGTACGGGTTTGGTATTTGTGATTGATGTTTTCGAGTTCGGATTTATTCTTAAGACGGGCGTTTAAATAAAATGTCATTTACAGACCTTCACAAATTTCTGTTCAATTCCAAATTTAGACCACTTTTCAGTGGAATGAAGTTATGTTCATAACAATAATAGATTGGAGTATGGGTCGAAGCATTTTTGGCTGCAAAGTACGCAGTCTAAATAGTAAAATTATTACCAATTTTTTTGACAACAGTATGCAAATTTTGGTCATGGGTTTAAATGAAAAATGGATAACACATAGAATAGCACAGCAACAATAAATTTCCAAAATTTCGGATCCTAAAATGCTGGAATAAATGAAAAGAACAGAATTTCCGAAAATGTATGATGTTTTTATTCTAAAATTAATCAAAATCTGCCAAATAAGGAGGTGATTGCTGCCATTTTCAGCAGAGACTCAAACCAAACGTGTGTTCAGGGCTTCTCTTAAAGATGTCGCTGAATTCGGAAATCATAGTCACTTCTTTCAAACGCTAGTAAAAACTGTTTTACCTAGCTAATAATGGTTGCGTTCCTAAGGACTCAACATGTTGACTGATTAGTCAGCGGCTATGTTGAAAACAGATGAAAATCACCTCTAGGCCAATCAAAACTTTTCTACCTTGTGCATTTCACTAGCTGGAACAAAGCCGCTTACTAATCACTGACTTACGACCAATGTGAAATACTATTATTTCATTCGCATCTGAATAAAATTATTCAATCCACTGTATATTACTGTGTCAACGAATTGATATTGAAGATGTCGCCATCTACTTGTAAATAAGTCAATCACTTACAGATAATTTGCACACCTGTGATTAAAAAATATTTAATGCATGTCATAAAGTCCAAGAGATGGCACGCTGGTTCTTATCTGACGCCGCTCTTAAATTTATTTACCAAAACTGTGTGTGCATACAGTTGTCTAACATAAAGTAGTTCAATTTCTGCGAAAAGAGATTCGGTTGAGTAGATTAAAGGTTTTTTAACACGGAAGTACACGCATGTCGGTCAAAAAGACCGACCATTGTGGTACAAGGGTGGCAGTTTTGTCCATCCAGGAATGCCTGACGCAGGTTTTCCACTACCCATTGGCCCAAAAATATTTTGCTTTTTGGTTGAAGTATAGTACGTTGTTTTCATAGTCGGTGCTTTTGACTAGGCGCGTGAACCTGAGTATCTAAAATATTTGTGTTCAAAATTGGTATTTTCTGATATTGGGAGTACTTTTGGCCGTCGATAATACGGTAACTGTACTGCATAATATAATTACCTTTGTAATGATTATGAATTCTAGGAATTATAGTGCTTGTACACTTTTTCCGCGGAAACGATCCCAAACGCATCCTGAACGCTAAGGCATGACTTAGTGCGCGTTCACATTGACACCGCTCGAGCGGTGAGCGTTGCGCGATGCCGCTGTAGTGATGCCCAAAAATAATTTTAACATTATATTTCAAATGAACATGTTAACACCGCGCGACACGCCGCCTCAGTGTGAACTTGTTCATTTGAAATATAATGTTCTGAACGCGCACTAAAGCATGACTTAGTGCGCGTTCACATTGACACCGCTCGAGCGGTGAGCGTTGCGCGATGCCGCTGTAGTGATGCCCAAAATAGCTATTTATGTACCAAGGGGATTATGTAGATTATAATGCCCGAAGGCGAAACTAGCCCGAGGGCCTATGGCCCGAGGGATATATTTCGCCTGAAGGGCATTATAATCTTGAAATCCCCGTGGTGCATACAATGCTTTATTTTCTACTCAACACAATGTTTTTTCATCAATTTGTACTTAACAAAATCAGTTAAACTTGTGTGACAGAATATTGTTTTGTATTTTGACATGTACCTGTACCTGTGACCTGTACCTGTACCTGCGACCTGTACATAGAAACGAAATAAATTAATATATCTATAAACATCTCATAAGGCAAGGCAACGGTGGTGGTCCTGTGGGTTAACGCGCTGGACTACATGGGAAACATTGATGGTAGACCGGGTTCGAATCCTGGCTAGACCGAAAATTATTTTCGGTCAGACATTTAGTGGCTGCCTAGGGTAAAGTGCAAATTAATAGAACAACAACAACAAAAACACCTTAAGGTATTATAAGCGGGCGTTATAGATCATAACGCCCGCAAAAGCGGGCGTTATGGATCAGGTTGTTATAGGTGTGTTAACGTATTTCGTTTCCTAGGTATTATGGATCTATAATAGTAAAGTAGAAAATAAATAATTTTATATCCTACTGAACTATTAAAACCATATAATACCTTGGTTACGATAATCATAAACAGGGTCTTAACTCCCAAGGGAGTTAAGGATTTCCATAACTCCCGCTTTTACGTTGAATAGGTAACACTTTGACAAAAAATAGAAATTTTGAATTATGGCTTATTCCTTTATAAAAATAGACAGAATACAGTAAGTTCAGTAGGATATAAAATTATCTATGTACCACGGGAATTATCAGGAGTTAATACCCACGGGCAATTGGTGTCCCTCGGGCCGGAGGCCCTCGGGACACAAACGTTGCCCTGGGGTATTAACACCTGCATAATTCCCTTGATACATAAATAACTATTAACATTATATTTCAAATGAACATGTTAACACCGCGCGACACGCCGCCTCAGTGTGAACTTGTTCATTTGAAATATAATGTTCTGAACGCGCACTAAAGCATGACTTAGTGCGCGTTCACATTGACACCGCTCGAGCGGTGAGCGTTGCGCGATGCCGCTGTAGTGATGCCCAAAAATAATTTTAACATTATATTTCAAATGAACATGTTCACACTGGAGCGGCGCGTCCCACGGTGTTAACATGTTCATTTGAAATATAATGTTAAAAGTATTTTTGGGCATCGCTACAGCAGCATCGCTCAACGCTCACCGCTCGAGCGGTGTCAATATGAACGCGTACTTACGCAGGTGATATTTGAGAGTTTCATGTCTCTATTGATTAGTAAACCTGCATAGGTCATGCCTTAGCATTTAGGATACGTTTGGGATCGTCTCCGCGAAAAAAGCTAATAATTCATATAAACTTTTGGGCAGTTGGTCGATTTGACCGAACGCGTGTGATGACGTAAGTTTTTTGACGCGTGTAATGACGGGTTAAACAATATTTTTATTATGCGCCTTTGTATCCGCTGGAGAGGTGCAATTATTGTTTTAGCAGCTGCACCCCAAATTATTATGCCATACCGTGGATAGATTCAGCGAGGGCTTTGTAAATAATAGTTAGTTATTTGAGTTTAAGATTTCCTTTAAGCTGCTTAAGTTTGTATAGTACACATCGCAGTTTTTTATGGATGCTTTGGGTTTGGTTCTCCCATCGGAGGTTACTATCTATAAAGATTCCTAAATACTTAATAAAGGTTGTAGACTTAATAGAGAGTTTTTTTACATCATTTGAAAGTATACTTACACTTACCCAGCCGAAAGTTCTTGTTGAGCCCACATTACATCTGTGTATTTACAGCTTGTCACGTAAATAAATTCATGAATTAATACATGCATAAATACATGTGGAAATACACGAAAAAAAATACACAGATGTAATGATAGCTTTAGTCTAACTATGACAAAACTAATAATACATTTTTTCACATAGAAATGTAATTGATCAACTAGGTACATACATAAAAAAAAATATATAACTAAGATTGAGTTAATTAAAGTAGTAAATTATAAGTTGATTGGAACTGGTAAGGTGTAATGCTTAAAATCCTCGGTGTATTCGTCAGATTCGTTATACTCAATATGATTATCATCCTCAGCATGCACCCGCCAAAAATTCTTGTCCTGTTTAGAGAGCTTGTTGCATAGAGCCTAGTCACAATTTGTCTTAAAAATAACTTATTGGAAATTATTTTCTTTTTACCTGTTCATTATGAATAATCCAGGAAATCTCCATGTCATTTCCCATGTTCGATGCCAGCGTCACAGCCTTTCTCATCCGTTTGAACGTCTCATTGTACTTATTCGTCATGCAAACGTGATAGTACGCCTTGAAATGATATATCCTCGGCAAAATGATTTTATTCGATTCTCCAGCCTTTAACATCTTTTTAAAAAAATGTTCGATTTTGTTCTCCAATTTATCGGCCAATTGGATATTCTTGTCGTCCATTTTTCGTGACATATTCACAATAAGGCCTTCCAAAACATAAAGGCCAGTCAATAAATTTTGAATTGTTTCCCCTTCGCTTCGCAAATCAAAATTCATCACATCTTCTTCCCACAAATAAGCACCTTCCCAATTTTCGGTGCGAATATGCCTAGAATAACAGAAATGTGTATTAGAGCAAAAATTGGTAAAGTGCTCATTTCAATGGGCAAATTACTGCGGTAAACAGCTGCTTATCGCAAAATTGCTATCCTTTTATCCTTACCATAACCATATGGCCACTATCAGCCTCTTTTTAGAATCAGGATCCCTCACGGCGGGTTCTTTTCCTTCTCCTTGTGAAAAAGTTATACACTCATGAATGGGAATGATTATTAAGCCCGTTTCCAAATGAAAACTTAAACAGAGGGCGTAATACCAACATTTTCCTAAAATTAATAGTAAGTACAATGTTATTTGCAGGCAGCAGTAATAATAAATATAATCCGCCGCATGACGCATGACAGATAAAGGTTTGCAAGAATGCGACCGCCCGCGACCCGCCCTGTACGTGAACCAACAGAATTCCTCCGCATTATTCGTTGTCTTTGTCTAGTCAACAGTACATTTAGTACTTTTCGATCGTTTTAATAAGTTTGCTAAGCATTTCCTTCCAATCATGGGAGAATAAAGAATTGCCATAAGCAGACAATGCACCTCTGTGGTACACAGATGGATCCAAGCTAATGGAAGGAGCTGGACTGGGCATCTCCGGCCCTAACTTCAAGCTGTCCAAGGCATTGGGTAAACATCTTACAATATTTCAAGCCGAACTGATTGCCATAGATATATGTGCACAAGAGTGTCTTAGCCAAAGCCTCAAAAGAAAACACATCTTCATACTATCGGACAGCCAAGCTGCCTTCAAAGCCTTAAGGGCTTTCAAATGCACGTCAAAATTAGTCTGGGAGTGTAAAAAGACACTAAAAACACTAGCGACACACAACCAGGTAACGCTGATATGGCTGCCTGGTCATCGAGGCATAGAAGAAAATGAAGAAGCAGATGGCCTCGCAAAGGAAGGTGTCTCAACACCATACCATGGACCAGAGCCCTATTGTGGCTTAATGAAAAGCCACATCATGGAAGAACTTGATAAATGGGAGAAAGACCAACTGTCATTATACTGGAGGCACACACCGGAACTCAGACAGTCAGGTTTATTACCCTTTCAGCAAAAAGAGCTGAACAGCTCCTAAGCATGAGCAGACCAGACATCAGATTGTTGGTGGGACTGCTCACAGGACACTGCCCAGTAAAATACCATTTAAGGTTAATGGGCAGAGCAGAAGACGTCCTCTGCAGATTCTGCTCAGACGCAATAGCGACCGCAGAGCACCTGCTCTGGGAATGTCCAGCACAATTCTGCAAGAGGCTCAAACTCCTCGAGGGGGCAACACTGTCACCAGAAGAAGTGGGCCCACTGACACCCAGGAAAATAGCTTCCTTCGGCCGAAGTCTACGCTTCCTGGAGACAATTTGAGATGTAGAGTCATGTACAAAATATCTGCAAAGGTAGCAGTGCGTAGCCCTGTATCATCAATGTGTCGGACTATGGGTATCTATTGTTATTGATAAATTATTGTAAATGTAAATATGTCAACTTTTGATTTATAGGTTGCTGGAAGACATCTCCAAGGAAATATATCGAACTCACGAACTACCAATAATCCAGTCTATATGGAGTTTTAGAAATGGGTCAAGTTACTTTCCAAGACATGAGGATATACTTTTGTAAGGAAACAAACTGAAATTTCTGAAAAACGAATTTACTTTTGGAAGTTAAATGTTTTGCAAAATTATCACATTTCAAAGGAAATGTATCGAATCACCAAAACACTTTCTGCAGTTTTGGCGTATAACATTAGCTTTAATGGTTCAAACGAAATTTGCCTTAAGCTTATTTACTAAAATTAAGTAACAAATTTCACCAGAAATGTCCGTATCCTCAGCAGCAGTCATACTAATTTCTTGCATGATATTTCCAGCTACATTGATATGCTTCCTCATTAGAATTAGCATTACCAAAAGAGGTAGGAAACTTAATAAAAGTTCGGTCATGCTAGTAGATGAGCCAATCCTCCATAGAAGGTAACCAATATGTATCGACTTTTCGATTTCCGCTCTTGCTGCTCTAAAAGGTTTTTTATTTTCTCAGCTTTGACACTAAAATAGAGTCAAAATGCTAGGTACTTACCTTGCAAAAAATATAGCATTGTACATTTTAGCAATAGCCATAAGCTCCTCCCGTTCTACAACCGTCTTTTTCCTTTGACACAACTCGAACGAGAACACTTCCAGTGCCACACTGTGTCTTTGTTCCCCGAAATACGTAGAAATGGAGATAATGTTAGCGTAGGCCATACAAATTCGTGAAAAATCAGTTTCTGACCATTTGGCTTCGCGCAGCGACCATAAAGCGGCCAATTTTGCGTGATGGTACTGTTTTTTCGCCTATGGAAATTGTGAGAATATATTATATTTATTTAGGAATATTTCGGGACAGCCAGAGGACCACCAATCACAAATCTTTGACAAAGGAAGAGCCCGAAATAGTAAGTTCTAGCTCTCAGAATTGTCGGAAATAAAAACTTTCCATTATTGCTGTAGAAGAAATTGCTCCGAAATTCATTTTTCCCAGATAGGCCATAATGATTAGTTTATTGTCTTTCTCTGCAATTTTCACTCACTTTCTAGCATTGTTTTCAATTTCTGTCAATTCTGGAGGATCTTAGGCTGATGGTCCATCCAAAATCTCCATTTTTGTATTCATACCCTATAATATTCGTACAAGTAGCCCAAACACTCGGATACATCGTTGCAATAGTTAGACATATCGTCATCATTGCTTTTTCCTATAAACATCCTAGGAAATAAGAAAAGCGACACGTTTTGCTGGAAGCCAAGGCACATTTTCGCTATTTGAAGCGATAGAATGTTGGAAGGAAATTTTATTCCTGGAAACAATTTTCTCAATTAATAAATTATAAAATTACTGCAAGCGAGGTATCGTATCGCTTCAGCTGTCATAGATAAAATTCAGTTTTCAGTAGCGATCTATAGCTAGGTACGAGCTGCTTATTACAAGGTAAAACAATAGTTCACAAGTAAGTATTTTAGCTCGAGCACTCATCTATGGTTTTAGGTATCTTTTATCGTTGCACGGTTGTATTATGGAGTTAACGATTTCATTATCATTATCATTTTTATCCAAAAAACAGCAAAATCGAATCTTACTGGAAGCTGCGATTGATTTGTGACTGTTGAAACGTTACAACGTTCGTATTATTACTGAAAAATAAATATTATTTCGAAACGTGGCACAATTTTACTATTACCAACACCGTATAACTGCCCTTTATGGTTGCAAAATTTTTAAGATATGCTATCAAAGATTATTATCTTTTTTTTTTCAAATATCTAGTCCAACTTTTGTTTCTGTCGACCCGCTCTTATTAAGAGGCCAACAACAAGCCGTTAAAAATTGAGAAAAAGGGTTAATTTCCTGAGACGAGAACTCACTTATTTTGTAATATTTTTTGACCGGATTAGAAAATAATAAAAGATATAAATCTAAAGAATAATGCTGTTGTTTTAGTTTTTCGAAAAAAAAAATTGCAAATGAAAATATCACGACCTAAATACTCGAAAAAAAGCATCATTTCTATCGCTCGGTACATCCAAACCCATCGCTTTTTTTAAAAAAATGAAACAAGAGCATTGTTCTAAATTTTATTATCTTTTCGAATCTTCTTGATTCACTAAAAAATATTAAGTAGTTTTTGAGATCTCGTCTCAAATTGTAAGCCCTGCAAACACGGAAATTCAAAAATTTTGGCTGCAGCGAGGTGCTGCCTCTGGCGGATTTAATTTCGCACCGGGGTAAGTAAAAATTACACAACGCGAGAGGACTGCAAGGCCAGTTATTAGTTTGTGTAAATAATTATGGTGAATATATATTTCATAATGAACTCAAAACGAACAAAGATAACTTTACTAGAATTCAATAAACGAAAGAGGATATCATATAGCATAGTTAGATACTTACAGTTAGTACGAATAAAATCCATCAAAAATACAAGGTTGATTTTTTTTTCAAAAAATCTCGGATACGTCGATTTTTGATTTTAGTGGCCGTTTTTTTGATAAGAATTTCATACATTTGTCAAAACTGATATACCAACAATAAACTGACATGTTTTGATTGTTGATTTGAACCAATCAGATTGGAATTACGTGATAATTTATATTAATGTAAATTATTGCATATTAACTAATGCGAGAACTGGTGTTTTGACAAAAAATTTTTGATTCATGACATTTTCTCATAAAATACAGTGTATCCACTTAAGTTCGCAGCACATGGGAAACTTTTTTATTATCAATTTTACGAAAAAAAGTTATCCTTCATAAGAGTTTCTGCTTCTTGAAAAAATAATATCAAACTATTAAAAGTTGAAATAGCATTTACAGGGTGGTCAAAAAATAGAAAAATATAGAGGGTATTTCCTAAGTACGGTCCGTAACTTTAGATGTCATTCCTTACGATATTTTAACAAAAAAAGTTCCCATAAATATGTCACCAGAAATGCGTAGTTTCTGAGATACAGGGTGTCAAAGTTTTAGAAAAAATCGTTTTTTCAGCTCAAAAATTTTTCCATTTTTTTTTTTAAAATTTGGCAGGTTGATTTGTGATAACGAAAGGTTTCTTTTGACTGAAATATGACTTGCTTAATCTGAAAAAAATATCAAAGGTTTAAAAAAATAGTGATGTGCCATTTTTTTTCTACTTTTACCAAAAAACCCTGCTTATTTTCCTATTTTTTAATCACCCTGTACCGGGTGTTTTTTTATCTTCGATATCATTTTGATCACCTGTAACTTTTTTGTTTTTGAAGTTATCAAGGTAAACAAAAAAACAAAATGTAGGGTTAGTAGCCAAGTTTTTTTTCAAATTACACGTAAAACAAAACACTATCAACTTTTTGACATATAAGCCTACATTATATTTTTTCAAATGGAACACCCTGTATATTATATATGTGTTCGATAGAATATCTTATTCTGATTACAATGATATAGCACACTTCATATTTTGGTCCACTCGTTTTTGACACATCGGCAAAAATATGAAACTTTCGAAGTGAAACTTATTAGGCGGCCGGCGGTCTGATATTTGGGACGAAAATTATTGAGAGCATATAAAAATTTCATATATTTTTGCCGATTTGTCAAAAACGAGTGGAACAAAATATGAAGTGTGTTATATCATTGTAATCAGACTAATATGCTCTAACGAATACACATATAATATACCGGGTGTTCCATTTAAAAATAGTACATTAAAATACAAGCTTCATAAGACGTGATTTTATCGCACGAGCTCTATATTAGAAAACGAGCCGGAGGCGAGATTTTTAAAGGACGAGTGCGATAAAATGTCTTATGAAACGAATATTTTATACTATTTTTTCTATTCTGGTATTGTATTGTTGAATTAAAAAAAATAGTTATTTATGATATAAGTGCTAAAAGTGACATTTTATTTTGTGAAAAGGGAAGTTTAGGACACGACGCCGAAGGCGGAGTGTTCCATCCCTTTGAACAAAATAAAATCACTTTTAGCACGAATATCATACACTATTTTTTCTACAAACACTCTTTAAAAGTCCAATTAACGCATCCTTGCAATCCTCAATTTCAAATCTTTCATCTAATTTATTTATGAAATAGGTTGCTGGCAAGAAAAAAAAAACGAATTTGTTTATTTTTATTTGTCATCTCTGTTTGTCATTGTTGATTAGTAACGTCAAATAATCACGAATTTTTGCTTAAGGTTTTTGCACAATTTTTGGTTTTTGCGTGGTTTCATCCAGTTTCATTGTGGTTTATTTTCTGGGCGATGGAAAGTGATCAAGACAATGAATTTCTCCCGGCGGAAATGGAAGAAGCTGCCAATAAAGCTACTTTTGAATTATTGCCTAGCAAGTCAAAGCAACAGTACGAGTTTTCATACGATCGTTTCTTGAAATGGTGTGATGAAAAAAAAGTAAGTGGCAAGGAGGCCAGTGAAAAAGTGCTCCTTGCATACTTTGAAGAAAAATCAAAAATATGGAAATCTTCTACGCTTTGGTCAAATTACTCAATGATAAAGGCGATGATGAACATAAATAATCAGGACATAAGCAGATTTTACAAGCTTGTAGCTTTTTTAAAGCGAAAGGGTGAAGGATATCGACCGAAAAAGTCAAAAGTATTGCGGAGTGAACAAATCGATAAATTTCTCGCAGAAGCCCCGGATGAAATACATCTTATGCGAAAAGTTGCCGCAATTTTCGGTGTATTTGGAGCTTGCCGTCGAGAAGAACTTTGCAATTTGACATTAAATAACATTGAAGATTTGGGAACTTCATTAGTTGTGCATATACCAGACACTAAAACTAATGTGCAACGAAATTACGTTATTAGTGGTACATTGTATATAAACTACTATAAGAAGTACCTATCCCTTCGACCAGCGGATATCAATCACTCAAGATTTTTTATAAAATACAGCAATAATAAATGTGCCAAGACTCCAGTTGGAATCAACACATTTGGTAAGATCCCTGCCGAAATCGCTAAATTTCTGAATTTGCCTGATCCCCATCTTTATACTGGACATTGTTTCCGACGTTCCTCAGCGAGTTTGTTGGCGGACTCTGGTGCTAATCTTACTATAATCAAGAGACACGGTGGATGGAAGTCTAGTACAGTAGCGGAGGGGTATATAGAAGACTCGCTACAAAATAAAAAGAATATTGCGGATCAAATTCAGCCCAAAACTTCGGAGAATTACATTGCTCTTTGCCCTCCTGGTACAAGTTTTACCAAAATAAATTCAGTAACTGCTACCAACGAGATTGGCCATGGAGTTTCTTATTCTAATTGCAGTTTCGCTAATTGTACGTTTAATTAAATAAATATTTTATTTTGATTTAAAATTTCCTATGTTTTTATATTTTCTGATCAGTGCTAAAAGTGATTACTTTTAGCACTAGTGCTAAAAGTAATCACTTTTAACACCAGTTTCATAAAATGGCATTTTAGACACTGACAGCATCCGTTAAAAATGACACTTTTAGTGACGTTTGTAGAAAAACAAATTTTTGTTGGAAAAATTATTCTCATATTTCCTGATTTCATGTTTAGGTTGATAACATTACATGCCAAATATAGAATTAAGGGCGGGTATTATAAAACTACTTTGAGAGTTAACTTAAAGTTAATTTTTGGAATTACATGTAGGTAATTCAAAAAGTTAACTTTAAGTTTACTGTCAAAGCAGTTTTATAATACTCGCCCTAAATCTTCTATAAAATCGAGAATGACAGTGCGATGGCCATCAGTCAGCCAGTGTTACCAACTTCCGATAAGTGAAAAAGGAGTGTCACAAAGAGCTTCTTTTCGAAACTACTTTTAGTGTCGAAAAGACTTCGATATGAAACCGAAATAAAAAAAATACAATGTAGGCTTATATGTCAAAAAATTGATAGTGTTTTGATGTTTTGTTTCATGTGCAAGATGAAAAAAAACTTGGCTATTAATCCTACATTTTGTTTTTTTGTTTACCTTGATATCTTTAAAAACAAAAAAGTTACAGGTGATCAAAATGATATCAAAGATAAAAAAACACCCGGTACATGCTATTCTAAGTTTTAATAGTTTAATACTATATATTTTTTCAAGAAGCAGAAACTTTCATAAACAATAACTTTTTTTTTGTAAAATTGATAATGAAAAAGTTTCCCATATGTTGCGATCTGAAGCGGAAACACTGTACAACTCGTGCAATGGAAATATATTTTCAATTTTTGACAAATTTGCACTCATGCGTTTTTAACAGAAATGGGCACTGAAAAAGCACTGTGCTTCTTTTTAACTAAAAATGCATCCGGGCAAATTTCCCAAAAATTAT